CCACGGGCGGACCCAAATTAGACCTCGCCATCCCTGGGGAGCTGCGATTTGTGAAACTGTCGCCACTTTCGAGGCCTGCTGGGGTCCCAGCACAGTGACGCCACGCGCGGACCCAAATTAGACCTCGCCATCCCTGGGGGGCTGCGATCTGTGAAACTGTCGCCACTTTCGAGGCCTGCTGGGGGGCCCAGCACAGTGACGCCACGGGCGGACCCAAATTAGACCTCGCCATCCCTGGGGGGCTGCGATCTGTGAAACTGTCGCCACTTTCGAGGCCTGCTGGGGGGCCCAGCACAGTGACGCCACGGGCGGACCCAAATTAGACCTCGCCATCCCTGGGGGGCTGCGATCTGAGATCCCCGCTTTCGAAGTGGCTAGGGTTGCTCAGGGATTGCAACTAATCACCATTATCTAGTCCTTGTCCTGAAGCCAGTGTCCTGCGAGTCTCCCGAATTCCGTCTGCAGACATATGTAACCCTCGCTCCGTCATCGCCCCCCTTATAAAGTGTCCTAAACTATTTGCGCCCCGCGTTTGCGCAGGGGTTGGGTACGTCGCCAGGGTAATGTTTCGTTCCCGGGCGTTGGCACGGGACGAGTTGAATGAGACACTTGCGTTGCAATCGATTGCAATCCATTGGATTGTAAACGATTCGATTGCAATCCATTGGATTGCAATCGATTGGATTGCAGTCGGTTGAATTGCAATCGGTTCAATCGATTGGACTGCAGGGGAGGGACAGGACGGAGGGGAGGGAGGGGAGGAGAGAGAGGGGAGGGAGGAGATGGAACGAAGGGGTGGTGAGGGAGGGGAGGGAGGCAGAGGGCGCGGAGGGAGGTGGGGAGGGGGATTGCAGTGGAATGGAGTGTAATCGATTGCAAGCGATTTGATTGGGATTTTCGATCGTGATCGTTGATCGTCGATCGTCCATCCTCGATCGTGGGTCGTTCATTTTGGATCGTCGGCGAAAGGGAGGGTGGAGGCTCCGGGGGCTGGGCGGCCAAAGGGGGGAAGGGGGGGGCTTCCAAGCCCCCCCCCCCCCCTTTGGAACAGAAGGGGTGAGGGGGGAAAAAAAAAAACAAAAAAAAAAAAAAAAAAAAAAGAGGGGGGGGGGGTAGCTTCCAGCAGGGCGGCGCCAAGGGAGGGGGGGTAGCTTAAGCACCCCCCCCCTTTTGGAAAGGGGGGGTAGGGGGGGGGTATCTTCCGTGGGGCGAGCGAAAAGGGGGGTAGCTTCCAAGCATCCCCCCCTCCACCCCCCCCCTTTTGGAAAGGGGGGGGGGGTAGCTTCCAGCAGGGCGGCGCCAAGGGAGGGGGGGGGGTAGCTTAAGCACCCCCCCCCTTTGGAAAGGGGGGGAGGGGGGGGTAGCTTCCGGGGAGGGCTCAAGGGGGGAAGGGAGGGGTAGCTGTAAGCCCCCCCCCTTGCAAAAAAAGGGGGGAGGGGGGGGGGTGCTTCCAACAAGGGCGGCTCAAGGGAGGGGGGGTAGCTTAAGCCTAGCCCCCCCTCCCCTTTGCTCGGGCCCTGTGGGCGCGCTCTCTCTCATGTTTTGTTGGATGCCCCCTGGTTCGCGACAGCGCGGCTTCTCCCAGGGGGTTGCGTTCTCTCCCACATGGGGCTGGCCCTGGCCATGCTCTGCTCCTGCACGGGTTTTTGCGAAGCGCTGGCGTGTTTCTAGGAGGGACCCTGGTTTGCTCGCCCCCTGTGTACACAATTTGCCCAGGGCTGCCTCGTTTCTAGGCTCGTTTCTAAGCACAACCTGGGTTTCCCCTCCCCTCCCCACTCCTCCTCCTCCTCCTCCTTCCACGTTCGCCCATCCCGGCTACCCAGCCTTTTGCCTTGTCCGTTTTTGCTTACGTTTCTTCATGGTCTTTCGCACAGGGCCGGCTTGTTTCTAGGAGGAGCCGTCGTTCCCTCATGTTTTGCTGGATGCACCCTGGTTCGTGACAGTGCGGTTTCTCCCAGAGGCTTGCGCTTTCTGCCACATGGGGCTGGCTCTGTCCATGCTCGGCCCCTGCATGGAGTATTGCGAATGGCTGGCGTGTTTCTAGGAGGAACCCTGGTATGCTTGCCCCCATACATTCACGATTTGCCCAGAGGTGGCTCGATTCTAGGCACAACCTGGGCTTCCCCTCCCCCTCCCCTCTCCTCCTCCTTCCATGTTCGCCCATCCCGGCTACCCAGCCTTTCGCTTGTCCGTTTATGTTTACGTTTTTTCATGCTCATTCGCACAGGGCGGGTTTGTTTCTAGGAGGAACCGTCGTTCCCTCATGTTTTGTTGGATGTCCCCTGGTTCGCGACAGCGCGGCTTCTCCCAGGGGGTTGCGTTTTCTGCCGCGTGGGGCTGGCCCTGTCCATGCTCCCCCCTGCAAGGAGTATTGCGAAGGGCTGGCGTTTCTAGGAGGAACCCTGGTATGGTGGCCCCCCTGCATTCAGAATTTGCCCTGAGCTGATTCGTTCCCAAGCTCAACCTGGGCGTCCCCTGCCTTTCCCCTCTCCTCCTCCTCCTCCTCCTTCCATGTTCGCCCATTCCAGCTACCCTGCCTTTTGTTTTGTCCGTTTTTGAAAACGTTTCTTAATTTTTTTCGCACAGGGTTGGCTTGTTTCTAGGAGGAGCCGTCGTTCCCTCATGTTTTGCTGGATGCCCCCTGGTTCGTGACAGCGCGGCTTCTCTTAGAGGCTTGCGCTTTCTCCCACATGGGGCTGGCCCTGGCCATGTTCGCCCCCCGCATGGACTGTTGCGAAGGGCTGGCGTGCTTTCAGGAGGAACCCTGGTATGCTTGCCCCCTGCATACACAGTTTGGGGCCCTCTTGGGAGTACCTGCTCTTGGAACACTCTTGGGCCGTCTGGGATGCGTCTTGGGCCGTCCGGAGGCCATCTTTGGCGTCTTCGAGCGATCTTTTGGCGACCCTGCGCCCTCTAAGGCCACTTTTGGACTATCGTGAACCTGACCTGCCGAAGGAGGGCCAAATTTGCTCGAAGATGACCCGAAAAGGGAAAAGGGGGAACGGTATTCTGACCCGGGACCCCCCCAGGGACCCCTTCCGGGACCTCCCCAGGAACCCCCCCCGGGTGGGGAAGGGATCAAGGGAAGGGGCTTCCATTCGATTCAATGACGACTTCGATTACGACTTCGCTCGATTCACTTCGAGTTGACTAGCTTTTGCAGCACAGAGGGTTTCGAGAGAGGCTCCTGGAATGGAAGAGCAAATCGAATGAAGGAGCATATTTTAGAGCCACCCGTGGACGACGGACCCAGAACTCCCCTTCACACGCGCCGACGGGGTCGGCGGATTCTATGTTGCTGCTGTTGTTGTTGAAGACGACGACGATGACGATGGTGGTGACGACGACGACGACGGAGAAAATGATGATGATGATGATGATGATGATGATGATGATGATGATGATGATGATGATGATGATGATGATGATGATGATGATGATGACGATGACGATGATGATGATGGTGAATATTAGATGGTGGTGCCAACGATGATGACGATGATGATGACGGCGATACTGGTGATGATGCCGATGATGATAACGGCGATGATGATGGGGATTATGATGATGATAATGATTATGAGGATGACGATGACGATGACGATGACGATGCTGATGATGATGATGATGATGATGGTGGTGATGCTGATCATGATGATGATGATGATGATGATGATGATGATGATGATGATGATGATGATGATGATGATGATGATGATGATGATGATGATGATAATGATGATGATGGTGATGGTGGTGGTGATGACGACGACGACGAGGACGAGGATTTGATCAGGAGGTGTGCGAGGACGCGCGCACATAGTCACGATGCGATGAGGGGCGCGATGTGTATGAGGACGAGGAGGAGGCGAAGCTGGAGGAGGAGGATGTCGAGAAGGGGGAGGCGGAGGAGGACGAGGAGCAGAAGCAGGACCATGACGACGAGCACGACCGAGGGGGGGATGGAGGGCGGACGAGGGAAGCAAGAAAAAGGGGAGGCTGAAGAGGGAAGACGACCGGGAGCGTGAGGGAAGGCTGAAAGGTTGGCACGCCGCCACCCCTTTCTAGGGAGTGCGGGGTCGCGCATTCAATCTGCATTGGATCTGACGGGTGCGTACCACATGATACATAGAGGTAAGCTTCGAACTCGTCGAGTTTGATTCGCAATTCTTGAGGCTTTACGTATCCCCACCAGATATCTGACACGCCCTCTGGACTTTTCCTTGCGGGCCGCCGAACAAAAAAGTATCCCCACCAGCCCATCAAGAAACGACGCCCGGGCGAGTTGACGTGATCAGGGAAGTGAGAGATCTTGCAGAGGAGCAAAGGGCCGGAGAAACCGTCGTACCCCAAGACGGGGAGGAAGAAGGAGGAGGAGTGGAGGAGGAGGAGGAGGAGGAGGAGGCTGAGGAGGAGGGTGAGGAGGAGGAAGAAGGAGGAAGAGAACGTGGAGAAGGACGAGGAGGAGGAGGAGGAGGAGGAGGAGGACCTGGGAACCGGGAACCGGGAGCTGGGAACCGGAAGTTGGGAGCCGGGAGCCGGGAGCCGGGAATTCCTTGGAAGACACGGCTAATATTTTTAGCCGCGTTTAGCCGGGACGTTGCTCTCGTTTGAGCGCGGTGCAAAAATGTTTAAAATCATAAGTTTTAGCCGGGTTTAGCCGCGCATGTTTCTCGCTTGGGCGTGGCTTACGAATGGCTAAACATGTTTAAAAATCTGTACATGTCTTAAAAAATGTCGTGTCTAAAAACATCGTGTCTAAACATGGCTACTCGTGGCTAAAATCGATGTATTGCCGTGGCCAGCCGTGGCTAATCGTGGCTAATTCACAACCGCGACCCAGACGGGGGAAATCAGAGGGGGAGGGAAATTCATCGATCATCAGAGGGGGAGGGGAATCCGCGACCCCCTCCTCTGATGATCGATGGCCTCCAAGATGGCCCCATATGCTCCGAAGAAGGCCCCAACAGGGCCCCAAGAGAGTCCCAATAAGGTCCCAAGAGAACCCCAAGAGGGCCCAAGAACCATTTTTGGCTCAAGAACCGCCGGCCCAAAGTAGCTGGCGCGGCCCGCGCCTCCGCACACCCGTGGGCTCTTGTGCTTGGCCGGTGCGTGTGCAGGACCGGCGCGGCGGGATGGGCCGAGACAGGCGCTCTCCGCGCCCAGACGCCGCAGGCAGCGCGAGGCGCTCTCCGCGCTCTCCGCGCCCAGACGCCGCAGGCAGCTCGAGGTCCTCCTCGCGATCCTCCAGGAGCTCATCTCCGGCCCCACGCCTGAGGCCGGCGACCACGCAAGGCAGCATGCTGCAGTTCGTTTCGGACGCCGTGGGCGGCCTCGGCGAGGGCGGCGGCCTCACCGCGGCCGAGGAGTCGGCCGCCTACAATGCGCTCGACAACGTGGAGAGGCGAGCGGACAGGAACCTCCAGGCAAGCAACGCGGCCATCGAGGCGCACATCGGGGCGCTGTCCGACCGGGTGGCCAAGATGGAGAGGAGCGTGCACAATTCCCAGGCGTGGCACCCCGCGGCGGACGCCGGCGCCACGCGGGCGCCGTCGACGGACGAGGACATGGGGTCCTTGCCCGCCGTGCCCGAGGAGGGCGACGACTACGGCGCCGAGGCGGAGACGGATCCCGATAGGCAGCAGGCCGCGTACGCTGATTTCCTTGACCTGACCCAGAGGAACATCAACTGCGTCGGTGTGCACGCCTGGGGCATGTCCGCCGCCACGCGGCAGGGCGCCACGTGCTGCGGCAGGTGCTGCGCCCTGGTGCCGTCTGCCCTGCTCCTGCTGCTCCAGGCCATCGTGCTCCACTCCGTCAGCCTCGAGGCCCTGAACCCCACCTGCGTCCGCAACGAGGACTGCCCTTCGGGCACCTGGTGCTCGCCCAGCTGGAGCCTCGGCGGCTACGAGGCCCTGCCGGGCACGTGCGACGACTGCTTGTGGGCCACGCAGCTCCACGAGACCAGCAGTGCGACGGAGAGCAGCAGCACAACCCCAACATCGACCAGTGAAACTCCGACTTCTTCAAGTCAGACCAGCAGTGCGTCGAGCACCATTTCAGAGAGCAGCACGACTGCTACCAGCACCGCATCATCTTTGAGCAGCACCACGGAGAGCAGCACCACGCCAGCACCGACACCATTGCCAGCACCGACACCATTATTCCTTCCTTGGGTGGTACAAAACTCGACGGTACAAGGCCCGACGCAAGCGCCGACATCGGCGCCGACGCCACCAGCATCGTCAGTACTGCCGATGGTGGCACAAGGCTGAAGAGGGCTCGACGTGGCCCTGGACGCGGCGCAGGTCCCGATACACTACGCGGCCCTCCCCGTGCGGCTCGGCCCGGGCGCCTACGAGGAGCTCTCCTACGCCGGTCTTTCCGCTGCCGTGGAACACTGCGCCGCGCACGCGGTGGACAGGTGCGACTTCATCCGGGACTTCAAAGACTCGCTGACCCTGGGCACGGTCATGGTCTTCGTCTTCGTGCTCCTGCTCCTGCTCTTCTCCATCGTGCACGACCTGGACAAGGCCGGGCATACGCTAAACGTGTTTGAGTACCGCCTTCAGGGCTGCGACCCGGTCATCAGGATGTTGGTCACCGCCGTGGCCTCGATGAACTTCAACACAAGGAGATTCGTCCTCCCGGGCATTGTCGTGCACGCCTACTTTGCCCTCGTACTGGCCGGCCCCGCGACCCCAGGGTTTGCGCAGCCCGTGTATTTTCTTTTCTGCGGGGTCTTTGTCGGCGTGATCTACCACGCCGAGAGGTTCTGCACCACGGTGTTCCTTAGCAAGGGGGCCGTAAAGCTCACCCGCGAGGCGTTCGCGGACGAGGCGGCACGGGGCGCCATCGAGCGAGTCAAGGGCCCGCTGCACGCGCGGGCGCTGGCGTTTTGGGACCACCGCTTCTACGCCATGTGCCTCGGAGCGTTCTCGTTCCTCGTGGTGGTGTTCACCGAAACGTTCATGGACGCCGTGCCTCTGTTAGATGTCCCAAGAATCTTCAATGCTGGCATATTCAAGGAAGTGCCCGGAGACGCCAACAATTGCACCAACGTCATTATCATGCTCGCCGTCTCATCGACAATTGCTGTGTTGTGTTACACTTTTGTCTGGACATGTGCTTACCTGTTGACGACCAGTTGTTGCCGTTGCAGTTTGGGTGTGATCCTCGCGCCGTTAAATTGCATTATGTGGAATGTTGCTCTTTGGATGGCACTGTGGACGGTGGCGTACGCGCCCGTGCTCAAACCCACATGATGACCGGCGCCCTCTGTCAAGCATCCAATTATATGTTTGGTAGCTCTCTCGTCTCTCTCTCTCTCTCGTATCCTCCCGTCCACCTTGGCGCCTTCACGACTGGCCAGGACAATATTCCCGGCACGTTCTGAGTATCCAGATGTCTGCGGCTAACCCCGCCACCGCGCCTTCGCTGCAATAAAACACGTGCAGGCTCGCTCTGCCCATCTCTCCCGACGGGATTTTGGCGGCCTCTTGGGGCGATGCTGGGTGCTCCTGAAGGCCTGCCGTGCCAATTTGAATGATTCTACAGACTTACGCCACATCCGCCGACCCCTTCTGTGACCGTTGCGAGGCCAGGAGTTTCTGGCCAGCGGCGTCTTGTGTGAGGGTGCGGTGTCGCGCGCGGGTGGTGGCAGATACGTAGGGGGTCCAAATGTTTGCGTGATGCCGGTGGTCTGGGGCGTGTTTTGCGATCGCCTTGCGTGCTGTGCACCCGGATGCGGGGTGTCCTTCTGGGAGGTCGGCCTTTCGACCCGCAACCAAGTGGAGGACCACCGGAAAACGAAACGAGCAAAAGTAGCGTGCGGAAGTTGTGATCAGCGAAGCATCACCGCGAAAGATGTGGCAGATGAGTCGAAACGGGTGAAGAGGCTATTGATGTTCGCAGCGCGCACGAAACAGTTCGCGTGGCGGCAGCACATTAGCGCCGAGCAAGATTGTGAGCACGTCGCGAGGAAGAGTAAGGCTGCATGCGCGGAGTGCATTGCAGTTGGTTTGACGGCTCGCAATACGGAAACGTCAGGGGGTCTTTTGGAGGCCTCCTGGGGGCCTCCTGGGGGCTCCTTGGAGCGTCTTGGCGGACTCTTGGGGGCCTCTGGCGGCCTCTTGGGGCACTCTTGGGGCCCCCTGGGGCTCGTGGGGGCGGAAAACTAGATGTTTGAATTTTTGGGTGCCCTCTTGGGCCCCTCTTGGTGCCGTCTTGGAGCCTTCTTGGGCCGTCTTGGGGACCTCTTGGGCCGTCTTGGGGCCATCTTGGGCCGTATTGGGGGCCTCTTGGGCCGTCTTGGGCCGGTCTTCGGGGCCTCCTGGGCCGCCTTGGAGCGTCGGAAAGCCCACGAGGCAAATTTGTGAAAACTATACGTTGTACGAAGGAAATAAGCAATTTCCCCAACCTTCCTGCGTTGGGTTCTCGTTTTGAATAGAGCACTGCTCGCGCGTCTCCTTCCTTCCTTCCCGTCCCTCTCTCCCCCTTGCCCTTCGCCCGTCGCCTCCCTGGGGGGCTGCGATATGTGAAACTGTCCCCACTTTCGAGGCCTGCTGGGGGGCCCAGCACAGTGGGTACCCACCGCAGACTCACATGGGACCTCGCCATCCCTGGGTGGCTGCGATCTGTGACACTGTCGCCACTTTCGAGGACTGCTGGGGGGCCCAGCACAGTGGGTACCCACCGCAAACTCACATGGGACCTCGCCATCCCTGGGGGGCTGCGATCTGTGAAACTGTCGCCACTTTCGAGGCCTGCTGGGGGGCCCAGCACAGTGAGGGCCACAGGCAGACTCAAATTAGACCTCGCCATCCCTGGGGGGCTGCGATCTGTGAAACTGTCGCCACTTTCGAGGCCTGCTGTGGGGCCCAGCACAGTGGGTACCCACCGCGACTCAAATGGACCTCGCCATCCTGGGGGGCTGCGATTGTGAAACTGTCGCTTCAAATGGGACCTCGCCATCCCTTGGGGGGCTGCGATCTGTGAAACTGTCGCCACTTTCAAGGCCTGCTGGGGGCCCAGCACAGTGGGTACCCACCGCGGACTCAAATGGGACCTCGCCATCCCTGGGGGGCTGCGATCTGTGAAACTGTCGCCACTTTCGAGGCCTGCTGGGGGGCCCAGCACAGTGGGTACTCACCGCAGATCAAACATGGGACCTCGCCATCCCTGGGGGGCTGCGATCTGTGAAACTGTCGCCGCTTTCGAGGCCTGCTGGGGGGCCCAGCACAGTGGGTACCACCGCAGACTCAAATGGGACCTCGCCGTCCCTGGGGGGCTGCGATCTGTGAAACTGTCGCCACTTTCGAGGGCTGCTGGGGGGCCCAGCACAGTGGTACCCACCGGCGGACACCGCAGACTCACATGGGACCTCGCCATCCCTGGGGGGCTGCGATCTGTGAAACTGTCGCCACTTTCGAGGCCTGCTGGGGGGCCCAGCACAGTGGGTACCCACCGCAGACTCAAATGGGACCTCGCCATCCCTGGGGGGCTGCGATCTGTGAAACTGTCGCCACTTTCGAGGCCTGCTGGGGGGCCCAGCACAGTGGGGGGGCAATGCTCCCATACGGTAGGTTCGCGTCGTGTCGACGCGGCGGCGACCCCGCCGCGGGCGCTCAAGGTTGACCGCCGCCAGTGGCCCATGATCCTCCAATGTGGAACGATCTGGCGATCGACAAGTCGCCGAGAGTTCAACGTTGAACGATGCAGTGTCAGGGACCAACGCTGAGGTCGTCACGAAACGAACCCGCCATACCTTTTCTTGCATGCGCCTCGTCAGCAGACAGTCTGGGCCTGGAGAGCCCCGCAGAGGACGAAACGCCAGCCCGATACCAACAACGAAGACTGCATCGACGTGCTTTGATCGTCCAGCTCGGTTGCCCTGTCTTGACCGAGGCCGGGCCCCCAGGGCTCTGGACCCCTTCCCTGGCTCCAGTTTTCCGCCCAGGATAGCTTTTCGACGGTCCCGTTGCCCTGCGGTCCCGCACCCAGAGGCCGAAAACCAAGAAGCAGTGGCGCTTATTATTGTTGATGCAGTTGTTGCTGTTGTTGTTGCTGCTGTTGCTGTTGCTGCTTATGTTGCTGCTGCTGTTGTTGTTGATGTTGTTGTTGCTGTTGTTGTTGCTGTCGTTGTTAGTGTTGTTGTTGCTGTTGTTGTAGTTGTTGTTGTTGTGGTTGTGGTTGTGGTTGTGGTTGTGGTTGTTGAACATTATTACTTCTAAAGAATAATTATTGTTGGGACCCCTGGTGCACGACCCCCCCGCCGCGCCTAGGCCGCAGCCTCATTTTCATCATTTTCGTGAGGAAGTCTCAGGCAAAACGGGTTGGTCCGGATCCGGTTGTGTTGTTACGATCGGTTTTCCCTTGCAAAAAATAAGCTAAAGTGGACATTTCTTGTTCTAACATAACCAAACTTCAAGAATCCCTTGCAAAAAATAAGGTAAAGTGGACATTCGCGCGCGCAAGACGAAATCCTTCCAAAACCTTAGTTTTCGTAGCGATTTTAACATAAAAACATCAAAAAACCAATGGTTTTTCAAACAAAAAATGTCAAAATTTCATCCCGCGCGCTCTTGCGGATTCGTAGGAAACCCAACACTTTTTAAACATTTCTGTCAAACGGGCTTTTGCGAGCAACTTTTTCGAACTTCTGCAACAACGGTTGCGCACCTGCCAGGGCCATCATCCCTGTCAAATAATACCATGCGGGACACATTCGTTTTTTCTTCGCGCGCGCACGCCGTCGTCGTCGGCCGCGGGGCCCTGAATAGTAGCCACGGTCGTCCGCATGCCACGAAGTGAAGTGTCCGAACGTCATAGGGCGGGAAGCTGGGTGTGGGTGGTGGCGAAGAGTCGTTTGGAAATTTGGTAGAGCTTGAACCGGCCCCCCCACAAAGTGGGGGTATTGCCCGCCTCCTATGAAAACCCTGGCACTGGTGAGAACGGTGTGTCCCCACGTGCTAGTAATTGTTGTAGTTGTTGTTGTAGATTGTTGTTGTTGCTGTTGTTGTTATTATTGTTGCTGTTGTTGTTGATGCTGTTGTTGTTGTCATTGCTGCTGTTATTGATTTTAGTCTCCTCATACGTGTTCCCATTATTATAATTATCAGTATCTTTATCATCATCACCCGTATTCTCGTTATTATCAGTATTATTGTCATCGTTGTTCGTATTTTCATTCGTTTTTTATAGTATCGCCATTGTTATTATTTTGTAACCAGTACACTCGTTACTATCATTCTGATTGCCGTGGCATTGCCTCTATGGTTAGTGATCGCATTATTTGCTTTTGAGTGGTATATGATATTTTTTGGTAATGATTTGTGTTTTTGTTTTTCTTTTGTTGTGTTAAGTATTCTTCGTTGTTTCAATGCGTTCGAGATCTGGGAGGGTCGCTACGTTGCCGCCCGTTGCCGCTCCGTTGTTGTCTCGCTGCCGCCTGGTGCGCTTGGTGGGCCACGTTTTTTCCCGGAGAGGGCGCAGGCCCAGGGTTTTCTTTTAGTGTGGTAAGCCTGTCCCCGGTGCCTCAACTGAGGTGGGCCCGCGGATTCTTTCCCTGATAAATATCGAGGTCGAGGTGGGCCTGCGGATAAAAATTTCAGGACGTCTCAGGCGAAACGCTTGTTTTTGAAATCCCGATCGATAAATCACAGGGTGCGGGCCACCTCAGCACGACCACACCCCAGCACGACCTCACCCCAGCACGACCACGCCCCAGCACGACCACGCCCCAGCACGACCACACCCCAGCACGACCTGATCGATAAATCACAGGGTGCGGACCACCCCAGCACGACCACACCCCATCACGACCACACCCCAGCACGACCCCACCCCAGCACGACCCCACCCCAGCACGACCACGCCCCAGCACGACCACCCCCAGCACGACCACACCCCAGCACGACCACATCCCAGCACGACCCCACCCCAGCACGACCTCACCCTAGTACGACCACACCCCAGCACGACCACACCCCAGCACGACCACACCCCAGCACGACCCCACCCCAGCACGACCCCACCCCAGCACGACCCCACCCCAGCACGACCACACCCCAGCACGACCACACCCCAGCACGACCACACCCCAGCACGACCACACTCCAGCACGACCGCTCCCCAGCACCACCACACCCCAGCACGACCACACCCCAGCACGACCACACCCAGTCGCACCCCCATGGAATGTTTCGTGGGGTGTCTGGTTGAGTGGTTGCCTGTTCGTGGGGTGTCTCGTGGAAGTTTCACGGGGTGTCTCGTGGAATGTTTCGTGAGGTGTCTCGTGGGATTTTTCGCGGGGTGTCTCGTGGGATGTTTCGTGAGGTGTCGCCCAGTTGGGTATCGTGAAAACGTGACCATGCTGCACATGTCTATATCCCTTTCCGGGTTCGTGGGTCTATCATGTTCTTCAGTTGCCGCTTCGTCGCCGCCTCTAGCGTGCATCACTTAATACTGCACGACATGGCTTCCACCACATAGCTTGCACCACATAGCTTGCGCATCCGCAGTGCAATGACCTACGGTTTGTTGCTCCCGCTGGCGAACATTGTTTCAATGTGTTGGCGGGCTGGGGAGGAGGCTCAGGCGGGGCCAGGATAGGGATACATCTTTCCAGGACGTTCCAGAACACTCTCAGAGTTCAGAACGCTTCGAGGAGGTCGCGGCGCCCGATATTTCCACCAGAACCTCCAGATCTCAGAGATCCCCGACCCAGATATGCGGTGTCCTGTCTTTTTGCACTTCGGGGTCACCGGAGCTTCCGACCTTTTCCCCGGGTCCAGTTTTTCATTCCGAGACGTTTTTCGATGGTCCTGGGGTCCAGCAAGAGCCCCCAGAGGCCGAGAACGACCAAACATCTCCCGCGCTGATGTTTTCCGGACGCGAGCGTGTCTGGGGATTTACCCCAGTCCGATTTTGTCCCTGCCCTGGCTTCTTCGTGGAGGGTCGATCGATCGAGGATCGAGGGTCGAGGGTCGATCGTGCCCCTGCCCTGGCTCCGCCTCAGAGGCGGGGCGCTGCCGCCGCCCCTCCTCAGTCAGCCACGCGCAGGGGGGTGGGGGGGCGCGTCTCAGAAGCCGCCCTGCCTCAGGGAAGGGCCCCCAGAGGCAGAACATAGAGAGAAACCCTCCGTCTCGATTTTTCCCGGAGAGGGCGCAGGCCCAGGGTTCTCTTTTAGTGTGGTAAGCCTGTCCCCGGTGCCTCAACTGAGGTGGGCCCGCGGATTCTTTCCTTGAGAAATGTCGAGGTCGAGGTGGGCCGGCGGATTAAAAATTGAGGATGTCCCTAGCGAAACGCTGGTTTTGCAGAGTTGAGGGATGTCTCGAGCGAAACGCTAGTTTTTCAGAATTTGTTGAGGATGTCTCGAGCAAAACGCGGGTTTTGCAGAGTTGGGGTATCTCACATGGCGTCGGGCCCAACGCCGAATTATGAGGAAACGCACATGGGGCCAGCAAGACCATCACCCAGCACGATCACACCCCAGCACGACCTCACCACAGCACGACCACACCCCAGCACGACCCCACCCCAGCACGACCACGCCCCAGCACGACCACCCCCCAGCACGACCACCCCCCAGCACGACCACACCCCAGCACGACCACTCCCCAGCACGACCACACCGCCTTGGTTGAGTGGTTGCCTGTCGTCGTGGAATGTTTCGTGGGGTGTCTCGTGGACTGTTTCGCGGGGTGTCTCGTGGAATGTTTCCAGGAAAACGTTGAAAACGGTCGCCCGTGTCTCGTGGAATGTTTCGCGGGGTGTCTCGTGGAAGTGCCCGTCGCCCAATACGGTGTCGTGAAAACGTTTCCATGCATGCGGTTCTATATCCCTTTCTGGGTTCGTGGGTCCATCATGTTTCACGACTCGAGGGTGCTTGGGATCGGCGGTGTCCACGACCGGCACCGACGCTTCTCCGCGTTCAGTCCCGGTCGTGGTCATCGTTGTCTTCCCCTCCTCAGCCACGCGCAGAGGGGGGTAGAAGGAGGGGGGAGCGCTTCTCAAGCCCCCCTGCCTCTTGGCAGGCGCGGGCCTTGCCTGCAGATGTGAGGCCGGCGCCTTCTGCGAAGCAGCCTCCCTCGGAGGAGCCCTCCCACCTCGAGGCTCGAGCCGGCGGCGAGATGTCCGAACTCTACCCTCGCCGATCAGCGATCCAGGCCGCTCGATGGGCGGCAGGGGCAGGGCTCGGAATTCGTCGGACACGTGGCGAACTCCTAGCCCTGCCCCCGCCTCCCATCATCGATGCAGCAGAGTCGGTGGGTGGCGGGGGTGGGGTTCGGATGTCGCCACCAGAGCGTCACAAAAAAGGATCGCCTGCACCGACATTGGCGCGTAACTTGCCCGCGTAAGCGCCCTCGTCTCCACTGTGGCTTGCCGCGCTGGTGGCCCGCGTAAGTCACCTCGTAAGGCCGCTGTGCCATCTCGCGTGAGACCAATTTCTTGCCGTCGCTCACCCATCGAGGAAGGGCACACGCGTGGCTCGGGGAAACGGCACCCCTCCCTCTACCGCCTCGTGTGCGCTGCCAACCTCGGCCACGCGCAGAGGGGTGTAGGGGGAGGGGGGAAGGCTTCTTAGAGAAACACCCCTGCTTCTTAGAAGGCGCGGGCCTCCCCCTCCTCCTCCTCCTCCTCCTCCTCCTCCTCCTCCTCCTCCTCCTCCTCCTCCTCCTCCTCCTCCTCCTCCTCCTCCTCCTCCTCCTCCTCCTCCTCCTCCCCCTCGCCGATGAACGATCCAGGCAGCTCGATGGGCGGCGGAGGTCTGGTTCGGAATGCGTGCGCGCCGCCGGCCAGCGGGGCCGCCGCTCCTCCCCGGCCGCAGGCGGCGCCCCCGGCGGCCACCCACGGCCAGTTCGACGAGGCCATCCTCGCGGCGGCCGCGGCGCTGCCAGCGGCATCGCTGGTGGAGCTGCTGCGGCGACTGCGGGAGCGGCGCCCCGCGGAGGTTCCCGGAGATCGAACGACTTGGATCAAGACGGGTGTTTTTCGCAGTTTTCGGCCTCTGGGGGCCCTCGCCGGGCCCCAGGACTGTCGAAAAACGACTCAGGATGAAAATTCGGTCCCGGGGAATGGGTCGAGACTTCCGGGGACCCCGTGTCGAACAAAATCACGACATTGGATCTCTGGGTTCGAGCAGGGTGCAGCCAGAAGCGCCCCTGGCCCGAGATGCTCCCCAGGATTTCCCAGGGGCACGCACGAACTGGGTACGGAAACAAGAGGCGCGAAGTCTGACGGCAGTTCCTGCGCGCCAGGGGCGGCGCCCGAGGCGCCGCCTACAGGGTCCAGCGCCGATCCCAGAAATCCGCGCGGACCTCGAGAAATTTTGTTTATGGCACTGGTCGTTCCCCGAACCACGCGTGTGCCCTCCCTCGATCGGGAGCTGCCAAAGGTGCCCATGACTCAAGGTGCCCCCCAGCTTGTCACTTCGTTTCGATTGGTGAGGCTTCGGGCTGCGCCCATGCCTCAGACGTGCTCGCGTCGTAAGAGAAATTTCGATGGGAGGCTTCTGGCCGTTTTTTCCCGGAAAGGGTGCCCGCCCAGGGTTCTCTTTTAGTTTTGTTTTCCTCCGGTGCCATGCTTAAAGGAGGCCGGCGAAGTTATTTGCGATAAATCACAAGGTGAAGTCCCATTCGGCGTGGAACAATTGCGTTTCGCGCGTGCCCGCTCGAGGAAAGTGCTCCCCCCATCTCGGATCCTCAATAAATAACGGGATCTGCAGACACCCGTTGTCCATTGTAAACAAGAGGGTGCGGGGCATTTTGAGTAGAATTTCGGAGAAAAAATGAGGTCTGGTGCCCCGACCGGGACATACAAAATGTGAGCGTGTTGACTTCTTGCCTGCCCGCTCGAGGATGGCGCGTCGTACGCGCAGAAATTCTGGGGATGTCTCGAGCGAAACGCTCGTCTTGCAAAATTTGACGGGCCTGGGCGCTCCAGGATGCCCGGGGGGTTCTGGGAGCGCAAATCCAATGTAATTTACGAGGGATCGCGGCTTTGGAAGCGCGGACGCCGCGTAATTTACGAGGCCGTGGGACGTTCCGCGGCGCGTCCCCCTGGCATGCCCCCCTGGCATCGCCCAATTGCATATGCAATTGAGGTCCTTAGGAATGGTTCCATTCCTCGCTGTTCTCAATCGGGTTCGTGGGTCGATCAGGGTTTGCTTACCCCCAGTTTCGAATTGAAGCGGGCAAGCGGAGTTATTTATGATAAGTAACAGGGTACAGTCTTATTTCTGTTTGAAGAAATGCGCTTCTCGCGTGCCCGCTCAAGGAAAATGTGCACCCTTATCTCGGATCCTCGATGAATTGCAGGGTCCGCAAACACACGTTTTCCGTATAAAAGCTGGGTGCGGAGCGTTTTGCGCAGAATCCATGATACAACACGGGGTGTGGATTTGTTGTTTTATATTTTAGAATAGTATTATTGATATTATTCGGAATATTATTATGGTGATGATCATGATTATGATTATGATTGTGATTCCGATTATGATGATGATGATGATTATTATTATTATTGTCGTTCTCATTCGCGCTAGTATTATTATTATTGTTATTGTTATTCTTATTCTTATTATTATTACTAGTAATAATACGTATTATTTATTATCAATGATTTATTATTATTGTTATTATTATTATTATTATCATTATTCGTAAGGGCTTCGCCCCCTGCCGCCGGCCCCCTCTCTCGGAGAATGGGCCATGGAAGAGCTAAGTCATGAGGCTTTGGCGCTGTCGTGCAGCAGTAGCGGAACTTCATGCGAGGCCGATTCGCAATCGGCAAAACCAACTGATCACAAGAGGGGTTACCACACAGGGCGATTGGTAAGACGTGTATGGTTTACGAGCTTGGTTACCACACCTTGGGATTAAAGGGCCGAGGGAGTACTCGCAGTTTGGGTTACCACGCCTTGCGATGGATGTGCGTGAGGGGTGGCACCGAATTTCAGAAATGTGGCAAATCCCCTGTGTTTTTGGACCCTGACCCCGCGGATCTGCGTGAGGGGTGGCACCGAATTTCAGAAATGTGGCAAATCCCCTGTGTTTTTGGACCCTGACCCCGCGGATCTGCGTGAGGGGTGGCACCGAATTTCAGAAATGTGGCAAATCCCCTGTGTTTTTGGACCCTGACCCCGCGGATCTGCGTGAGGGGTGGCACCGAATTTCAGAAATGTGGCAAATCCCCTGTGTTTTTGGACCCTGACCCCGCGGATGTGCGTGAGGGGTGGCACCGAATTTCAGAAATGTGGCAAATCCCATGTGTTTTTGGACCCTGACCCCGCGGATCTGCGTGAGGGGTGGCACCGAATTTCAGAAATGTGGCAAATCCCCTGTGTTTTTGGACCCTGACCCCGCGGATCTGCGTGAGGGGTGGCACCGAATTTCAGAAATGTGGCAAATCCCTGTGTTTTTGGACCCTGACCCCGCGGATCTGCGTGAGGGGTGGCACCGAATTTCAGAAATGTGGCAAATCCCGTGTGTTTTTGGACCCTGACCCCGCGGATCTGCGTGAGGGGTGTGGATTTCGAGCCCCCCCAGCAATTCAGACAACGCGCCCAGGGGACGCTGGAAAGTCTTGTTTGGGCCTCCCCCCCCTCGCGCGGTCAATCAACTAGTTACAGTAACCAGCAAGAAGCAGAACTGTAACACTGGAAACTACAAGCTACAACTGGTACTGGAAACTGCGAACCCGTGCCTCGCAGCCTGGTGGCCCCACAAGGGGGCCGGCGGATTATTATCAGATACAAGGAATATGGACAAGTTGACTTTTTGTGTGCCCGCTCGAGGATGGCGCGTCCCGCGCGCAGGAATTTCAAGGATGTCTCGAGCCCCGCGCTTGTTTTGCAGAAGGAAGGTTTGCTTTTTGCGTGCCCGCTCGAGGATAGCGCACCCTGCGTGCCGAATTTCTGAGGATGTCTCAAGCGAAAAGCTTCTCTTGCAGCGCTTGAAAGGCCTGGGCGCCCCAGGATGCCAATGTAGTTCTGGGAGTGCGGTCGGATCGTTATTTACAAGGGATCGTGGCCCTGGGAGCTCCCACGCAGCGTAGTTCACAAAGGATCCTGGTCCTGGGAGCGCGGACGCATCGTAATTGACGAGGGACCCTGGCCCTGGAGGCGCAAACCTAGAGTAATTTACAAGGGATCGTGGCCCTGGGAGAGTGGGCATTGCGTAATTCACTAGGGAGCGCAGCCCTGGGAGCGCGGACGCTGCGTAATTCACTAGGGAGCGCGGCCCTGGGAGCGCGGACGCTGCGGAGCGCGGCCCTGAGAGCGCGGACGCAGCTTAAATTACGAGGGATCTTGGCCCTGGGAAGCGCGGGCGCAGCGTGAGTTACTATGGATTGTGGAGCGCGGACGCAGCGTAATTTACGATGGATCATGGTCCTGAGGGGGCGGACACAGAGTAAGTTGTTAGGGATCCTGCCCCTGGGGGGCGCGACACAGCGCAATTTGCAAGGGAGCGTGGCCCTCGCAGCGCGAACCCTGTGTGATTTCCGAGGGGCCGTGGCCCTGAGAGCGCGAACACTGCGCCATTTCCGAGGGATCGTTGCCCTGGGAGCGCGAATCCAGTGTAGTTTTCGAGGGACCGTGGCCTTGAGAGCGTGACTCCCGCGTAATTTACAAGGGATCGCGGACTCCGCGTGGTGTGGTTTACGATGGATCGTTATCTTGGGACCGCGGACGCAGCGTTCCCTGGTACGTCCCCTGGTACGTTCCGTGACGCGTCCCCCTGGCACGTTCCGTAGCGCGTCCCGTGGCGCGTCCCCCTGGCACATCGCGCGGCGAGTCACCCGGGACGTTCCCTGCACGTCCACTGGCACGTTCCGTGGCGCGTCCCCTGGCATGTCACTGTGCGTGCGGCGCGGCACAGTGCTGAGAAGCACGACACAGCCCCTGGCACAGTAGCATCACCACTGATACCTGGCACGTCCCTGGGCGCCTCCCCTGGGCACGTCGCGCGGCGCGTCCCCTGGCACGTCCTCTGGCACGTCCCCTGGCGCGTCCCCCTGGCACGTCCGCTGGCACGTTCAGTGACGCGTCCCCCTGGCACGTCCCGTGGCGCGTTCCCCTCGCACACCGAGCGGCGCGTTGGCACGTCCGCCGGCATGTCCACCCTCACGTTCAGTGGCGCGTCCCCCTGGTACGCCACTGTGCGGCGCGGCACAGCGCAGAGCAGTCCAACACAAGCCTTGGCACAGCGTCATCACTATTGATCTCGTCAGCATTGCTACTGCCCATCTCCCAATTGAGGTGCTTGGAAACGCTTCCGTTCCTCGCAGTTCTAAATCCTTTTCTGGTTTCGTGGGTCGATCATGTTCTTCATCCCGAGTCGTTAGAGTCAGAACATTGAGAGAAACCTTCCGTCTCGATTTTTTCACGACTCGAGGGTGTCTGGGATCGGCGGTGACCAAGATCGGCACCGACGTTTCTCCACGTTGAGTCCTGGTCGTGGTCATCGTTTCCTTCCCCTCCTCAGCCACGCGCAGAGGGGGGTAGGAGGAGGGGGGAGCGCTTCTCAGAAGCCCTCCTGCCTCTTGGTAGGCCGCCTACCGTAGGCGCGGGCCTTACCTGCAGATGTAAGGCAGGCGCCTTCGAAGAAGCAGCCTCCCTTTGAGAAGCCCTCCCCCTCGAGGCTCGAGGCGGCGGCGAAACATTCGAACCCTGCCCTCGCCGATCCACGATCCAGGCAGCCTGATGGGCGGCGGGGGCAGGGCTCGGAATTCGTCGGACACCTGGCGAACTCCTAGCCCTGCCCCCGCCTCCCACCATCGATGCGGTAGAATAGATGGGTGGTGGGGGTAATTCGGGTTCGGATGTCACCACCAGGGCGTCGCGAAAACACGAGTCGCCTGCACCGACATTGGCGCGTAAGCTGCCAGCGTAAGGTCGCGCGCAAGCGCCCTCGTCTCCATTGGCTTGCCGCGCTGCGTGAGACCAATTCGAGCAAGGGCACACGCTTGGCTCGGGGAACCGGTACCCCCCCCACCCCCTCGTGCGCGGCGCCAACCTCGGCCATGCGCGGAGGGGTGTAGGGGGAGGAGGGAAGGCTTCTCAGAAGCACCTCTGCTTCTTAGAAGGGGCGGGCCTCCTTCTCCTCCTCCTTCGATCCTTCTCCTTCCCCTCCTCCTCCTCCTCCTCCTCCTCCGATCCTCCTCCTCCTTCCCTCCCCCTCGTGCGCGCCTCCAAGAGCCCTCTGGAGGTGGCCGCCGCGCTCGGCGCCCCCGAGAGGGCTGGCGCCCCGCAGCGGCGCTCCCCCGCCGCCCCGGCCGCCGTGCCGGGCCCGGCCAGGGCAGAGGCCGGGGGAGTAAAACGACACGAAGATCGGGACAAAATCTGATCGGGATAACTCGAAATCTCTGAAAATCGGCGGGTTTGGAGGATGTATTGGGCGCCGCGGCCGCTCCAGAGCGTTCTGGAACGCTCTGAGAGCGCTCCGGAACGCTCTGGAGCGATTTATCCCGATCCTAGCCCTGTTTTAGGGAGGCGCAGAAGTCGCCGGGGGCGGCAAAGAGGGGGGTGATGCGTACGGGGGGGTGGATATCATGTCGTGGGCCATGGTGTTTCCTCAGATCTCATGGCGCCTCTTCTCGTCTCAGTGCGTCCCTGTCTCCCCCCTGGGCCGCGCACGTGCCGCCTGCCATGACTTGCACCCCCCCCTCTTGGAGGCCCCCGTCTTGGCCGCCCCCGAGAGGCCGAGGGAGGAGCAGAAATCGGGACGATCAAAATGGGTACGGAAATAATTCGGCGGCGAGCGAGGGGGAAGTGAGAAGGAGGAGGCCTCCTCAGAAGGTTTGGAAGTCTCTCGGCCTCCTGAGAAGTTTTCTAAGCCTCCCCCGACGACCAACAAAAACTTCTCAGAAGGCAGCGGGGCTTCTGAGAAGTCCCACTGCCTTCTGAGAAGCCTTCTCCTTCTCACTTCCCCCCCTCGCTGGCCGCCGAGTAATGGGTACGATGTCCAACAGCAGTTCCTGTTCATTTTGAACAGGGCTCGCTGTCCGCGCCGCCGCGGATGTTGTTCATGGAAGGCAACAAGCCACCTGTCCAACAGCGGCCGCTATCGGTTTTGGATAACTTCTTTTGGGGCATTCTACCCATTTTCTCCGTAGCCATTTCTGGCGTCCATTGAAACGGCACACCCCTCGAGCCCTCAGCAGGCAGCTTCGGGCTGGAAGAGAGGGCAGGATAGGGAAAGGGGGGGTTAGATAGGGCCTGACCACTGGTTTCCGCCCCGCCGCTGGCTGGGCCCACGCCTCGATGCATGGGCACATCCATCGGTACTTGAAAGCACGTATTTCTGGATTTCCAGATCTCAGCCCAGACATGCTCGCGTCCCGAACAAATCAGGACGGGAGGTTTTTGGTCGTTTTCGGCCCTTGGGGGCTCTTGCCAGGCCTCGGGACCGTCAGAAAATGACTCAGGATGAAAACCGGTCCCGGAGAATCGGTCGAGGCTTGGGCGATATTGTATGGAAGGGTAGGATAGGGAGAGGCAGGGTTACGAAGTTTGCTGCACGCAGCTGTTTTCCACCCATGGACGCCTCATGGGCGCCTCCGGGCACCGGGAGGCGCCAGGAAAGCCAGCTACGTGAGCTGATTCTCTACCCTACCCTTTGCTATCCTATCCTTTCGTTCCCCCCCAGCAGTTCTTGCTTCCCAGATCTCAGTCCACCTCGGGCGACTTCCCGCTTCAAGGGTCGGGTGGTCTTCCCTCTCCCCTCCTCTGCATGGGGGGCAGACGGGAACCCAGTCTGTCTCCAACGCCTCCCTGCTGGGGAGGAGGAGGAGGAGGAGGAGGAGGAGGAGGAGGAGGAGGAGGAGGAGGAGGAGGAGGAGGAGGTGTTTTCCCAGCCTCTCCCGACCCGCGGGCAGACACAGCTCGTCAGAGGCCCGCGCTGGTTTCTTCGATCGGCGGCCCCCCCCCCCCCTGGCGCGCGGAGCGCGCCCACCAGGGGCGGCGCCAGGGGCGGCGCCAGGGGCGGCGCCAGGCTCGGCGCCTTTGGCGCGGCGCCAGGGGCGCCGCCGGGGGGGGGGGGATCCAGTGCAGATCCAAGAAATCCGGGCAGGCCTTCAATCGATGATGTTTGTGCTGTCTTCGTGCCTCCAGGAGGACGAGCCTGTGCGCCAGGGTTTCAGCGGCTTCGAGGAGATGCAGACGTGGGCAGGCGGCGGGTTCGGGATAGAAAAGGGTATGGTTAGCATTCGGGTCGATCGAGTCCTTTCGGGTGCTGCCTGGGAGGTTGGACCACTGACCTGGCTCGCTGTGGCCCTGAGTCGACAGCTCCACAGCTGATTGGTCAGGTCAGTGCGCGGGCGGCTGCGGTGGCACTCGAGATTCAGTATCGTTTTACTGACCCCTATCCCCATCCCCATTCACACCCCGCCATCTAATCACCCCAGTTGGGGATATACCCTTTGAAATCCGAAAGAAGCAGCCTGTATTCCATCTATGGGGGCAGATCGGCCAGTGGGGCCCAGCCCAGGCCACGCACACGGAGGTAGGGATCTGAAACACGATGCCCGAGAGCTCACTCCGCCCGACAGCGTGCGGATTATATGGGTCAACGGCAACGTTTCGGAGGGTCGCCCCGAGCTGTCTTTTTCCAACCATCTTGTGGTGTTGGGTCCTCGTTTTGAAGAGACAGCGCCCCGCGTCCCTCCCGCCTCCTCCTTCTCCTCCTCCTTCTCCTCCTCCTCCTCCCTCCTGCTTCCCATCCTTGCCTTTGCTCTCCACATGCCCATCCCATTTCGGCGCACCCCTCACAGGGTTCGTGGCCCCATAGGGAGCTCCACCGAAGGCCCCAGTGGCAGCGTTCGCATGCAGATCCACCCTCATTTCGGCGCACCCCTCACAGGGTTCGTGGCCCCATAGGGAGCTCCAGCGAAGGCCCCAGTGGCAGCGTTCGCATGCAGTTCCGTCTTCATTTCGGCGCACCCCTCACAGGGTTCGTGGCTCCATAGGGAGCTCCACCGAAGGCCCCAAAGGGCAGCATTCGCATGCAGTTCCACCCTCATTTCGGCGCACCCCTCACAGGGTTCGTGGCCCCATAGGGAGCTCCACCGAAGGCCCTAGTGGCAGCGTTCGCATGCAGTTCCACCCTCATTTCGGCGCACCCCTCACAGGGTTCGTGGCCCCATAGGGAGCTCCACCGAAGGCCCCAGTGGCAGCGTTCGCATGCAGATCCACCCTCATTTCGGCGCACCCCTCACAGGGTTCGTGGCCCCATAGGGAGCTCCAGCGAAGGCCCCAGTGGCAGCGTTCGCATGCAGTTCCGTCTTCATTTCGGCGCACCCCTCACAGGGTTCGTGGCTCCATAGGGAGCTCCACCGAAGGCCCCAAAGGGCAGCATTCGCATGCAGTTCCACCCTCATTTCGGCGCACCCCTCACAGGGTTCGTGGCCCCATAGGGAGCTCCACCGAAGGCCCTAGTGGCAGCGTTCGCATGCAGTTCCACCTCCATTTCGACGCACCCCTCACAGGGTTCGTGGCCCCATAGGGAGCTCCAGCGAAGGCCCTAGTGGCAGCGTTCGCATGCAGTTCCACCTCCATTTCGGCGCACCCCTCATAGGGTTCGTGGCCCCATAGGGAGCTCTACCGAAGGCCCTAGTGGCAGCGTTCGCATGCAGTTCCACCCTCATTTCGGCGCACCCCTCACAGGGTTTGTGGCCCCATAGGGAGCTCCACCAAAGGCCCTAGTGGCAGCGTTCGCATGCAGTTCCACCTTCATTTCGGCGCACCCCTCACAGGGTTCGTGGCCCCATAGGGAGCTCCACCGAAGGCCCCAGTGGCAGCGTTCGCATGCAGTTCCACCCTCATGTCGGCGCACTCCTCAAACGGTTCGTGGCCCCATAGGGAGCTCCTCCGAAGAAGGTGCTCACAAGTGCGGCACTCACAACTGCATATGGTTGGGTCCTTCGCCAGGCTAATTTTGTGTCGCCCCTGATCTGTTTTATCCCCACATCCTGAGTGAGGTTCTTGTTTTCCCAACACACCTTCTCCTCCTCCTCTTCCTCGTCCTCCCACCTCTGCTTTCCCCTACCACTTCCAGAACCACTCGCAATTTTACAACTACCACTACCACTACCACTGACACTACCACTACCACTACCACTACCAATTCCAGTGCCACTACCACTACCAATACCAATAGTACTACCACTACCACTACTGCTATCAATGCTACCACTACCACTACCACTCACTACCACTATCACTATCTCTTGCACTGTCACTACCCTACCACTATCACTACTACTGCCACTACCACTACCACTACCACTAGCACTACCACTATCACTACCACTACCACTACCACTACCACTGACACTACCACTACCACTACCACTACCACTACCACTACCGCTATCACTACCACTACCACTACTACTACCATTACCACTACCACTACCACTACTACTACTACCACTACCACTACCCCTACATTATTATTACCACTACCACCACCACCACTACCACTACCACTACCACCACCACCGCCACCACCATCACCACAATCACTTCTACTGCTACTACTGCTGCTGCTGCTGCCACTATTGATATTGTTGTTATTAGTACCCTCATTACAAGTACTACTACTACTGCTACTACTACTACTACTGAAATTATTCAACCACTACTACTATTATTAATACTACGGCTACTACCACTATTATTACTATTCGTATTTCCCGTGCTAGTTCTACAACAGCAACTACTACTACTTCTACTACCACTGGTACTCTGACTGCTACTGCTAGTACTATTACTATTGCTACTACTACTACTACTGCTGCTGCTGCTGCTGTTTTTAAAGCTACAGCTGCGACTACTGTTATTCTTGCTGCTACTACTATTGCTATTACTACTACGACGACTACCACTAGTATCACTACTACCACTACTACTGCGACGACTATTACTACTACTCGTACTATTACTACGACGGCTACTACTGTTACTACTACTCCTACGGTTATTGTTACCACGACGACGGCGACTATTATTATTACTACTAGTTGTGTTATCATTATGACTACTACTATCACGGTGACGACCACACCGACAACTACCACTACCACTACCTCACCACTACCTCATACCATTACCATTACGGCTACCACTACTGTTACCACTGCTGTTCTTGCTGCTGCTGCTACGACTACTCTCACGCCGGCTACTACGACTACTACTGCGACTACTGCTGCGACAATTGCTAAGGCTTCTTTTACGACTGCTACTACTACTATTACTACTACGGCTACTACCACTACGTCGACTACTACTACTACCACCACTTCTGCGACTAGTGCTGCTGCTGCTACTACTAGCACTACTGCTGCCACTACTACTACTATTACTACTACTACTACTACTACTACTACTACTACTACTCCTACTCCTACTACTACTACTACTACTACTACCACTACGGCTGCTACTACTACTCGTAGTAGTCGTACTACTACTACTACTATTACTAGTACTAGTACTATTATCATTACTGCTTTTACTGCTACGAATACTAATGCTACGATGATACTACTATTCTTACTACTACCACTACTACTAACTTCTACGACCACCACCGCTACCACCACCACTACTACTACTAGTACTACTACTACTATTACTACTACTACTACTACTACTACTACTACTACTACTACTACTACTACTACTACTACTACTACTAGTACTACTGCTACTACTACTAATACTACTACTACTACTGCTACCACTACTACTAATACTTCTACTTCTACGTCTACTGCGACTACTACTGCGACTACTGTTGCTATTGTTACTGCGACTTGTACTACTACCACTATCATTACTCGGTTTCGGTTCGGTTTCGGACCCCCCCCCACAGCATCCAGCACTTCAACCACTGCTGCTGCTACTAATTCTGCTGCTGCTACTACCACTTCTCTTATTTTTTACCGCTACTACTGCTAATGCTATTATTATTCCTATTACCGCCACGGCCACTCTTACTATTATTATTACTACTGCTACTGAGGATACGATTTCGATTATTATTTCTCGTACAAGTCTTACTACTGCTACTACTGCTACTGCTACGACTACCACTACTACTACTGCTACTACTACTACTACTACTACGACTACTACAACTACTGCTGCTACTACTACTACTGCTGCTACCACTACTACTACTACTACTATTACTACTACTACTACTACTACTACTACTACTACTACTACTACCACTACCACTACCACTACCACTACCACTACCACTACTACCACTACCAACTAAACTACCACTAACCGCTACCACCACTACCATACTACTGTACTACTACTACTACTAGCCACTACTTACACGACCTACTACTACTACTACTACTACTACTACTTCATTACTACTACATTACTACTACTACTTCTACTACTACTACTACTACTACTACTGCTACTACTACTACTACTACTACTACTACTACCTCTACTACGACGACTACTGCTACTACCACGACTACTAGCTAGTACGCTATAGTGACTATACTACTACTACTACTACTACTACTACTACTACTACTACTACTACTACTAATACTTACTACTACTACTACTACTACTAGTACTACTACTACTACTACTACTACTACTACTACTACTACTACTACTCCTACTACTACTACTACTACTACTGCTGCTGCTGCTGCTGCTGCTGCTGCTACTACTACTACTACTACTACTACTGCTGCTGCTGCTACTACTACTACTACTGCTACTACCACGACTACTACTACTACTGCTGCTACTACTACTACTACTACTACTACTACTACTACTACTACTACTACTGTTACTACTACTACTGCGATTACTACTACTATTTCCCAAACCTCCTAGGCTGGGTATTCGTTTTGAACAGAGCAGTGTGGTCTCCACTTCATCCTTCCCGTCCCGTCTCCCTCTTGCCTTCTCCTGTCTTGTCTGCGGGGGGCTGCGATCTGTGAAACTGTCGCCACTTTCGAGGCCTGCTGGAGGTCCAGCACAGTGACGCCACGGGCAGACCCAAATTAGACCTCGCCATCCCTGGGGGGGCTGCGATCTGTGAAACTGTCGCCACTTTCGAGGCCTGCTGGGGCCCAGCACAAGTGACCGCCACAGGCAGAGGGGAAAAGAGACCCAAATTACACCTCGGCATCCCTGGCGGGGGCTGCTATCTGTGAAAACGTCGCCGCGTTCGAGCCAGCGGGGGGCCACACAGTGACGCCACGGAGCCTAAGACTTCAAATTATACCTCGCATCCCTGGGGCTCTTCCGATCGTGAATCTGTCGCCACTTTTCGGGCCTGCTGGGGGGGCCCAGGCCAACAGCGACGCCACGCGCGGACCCAAATTAGACCTCGCCATCCCTG